CCTGCATCAGTGTCCCCATGCTGCCCTGTTTCCCTCCTCCGTGACCCAGCACAGCAGGGAGCAGAGGAGCCCCAGGCCCCAACCCGTACCCAGCGGGGCAGCAGCCCCAGCTACCCAGATCCCTCCTTATAGGGGCCTCAATGTCCCTCTTTCTCCCCCCACCCTTATCTGCTGGAGCTAGTCTGCAGGCTGCCTGGGGCCACATGCATGTCCATGCATGTGGCACCCCCTGTCTCACTGCCTTCCTCCCGCTTCCTCCCAGCTCCCTGCAGGCTGCAACTCTGCCAGCCTACAGGCAAAATTCACAGGTTTATCTTGTAAAACAAGAAATCCATGTTTGCCTCTGATAAAAGCTAACATTCAGGGTTAACTCCCATTTTTTTTGTGGGAAATGGAAAACCCGGATCCCTGGTAATGACAGTCTATCAGAGCAGGCTTGCTGCATGTCTATAGGTGCCCCAAGTGACCAAGTGGCAGAAACAGAAGTTAGGGGCACAGTCTCTGAATTCAAACTACCTGGATCTTAAATGCTGGAGGTAAGAGAGGAATAGTGGGGAAAAAAAACACCCTGGTCATACTCTGTTCACTCTCCCTTTCAGCAGCCACTCCTATGTGTACATGAAAAGCTATGTGGCAGTAGCAATGAGCTATGGCGTGGGGGAGCACTAACCATGATGCTACTATGTAGAAGCTCATAGGTGGCCCCTGGTGGCCCTGAGCTCCCAAGGGGGAGCAGGGGTCAGGGACACCAACAGGTCCTCAGTCCTGGGTGTTTGCTCCCCTCAGGCAGCTGTGCCATGCTGCTCTTCTGTTTAGAGAGCTTGAGCTAAACCCCAGGTGCTGTAGCTAAAGGCTCATAAAATTGTTCCCTTTACTGGCACAGAGAAGGACGGGTCAGCACCTCTGATTTCAGGGGCCTTCTGATGACCCAGTAATTGCAGGTGGAGAATACTGCCTTCTCCAAATGGCATTATCTGCTGGCTTTATCCCCCCCCCTTGCTAGGTGGCACCTCCAAGTTATCTCAAGGAGTGCCCTGGCCCTTTGTAGCACAAAGGGCCAAAGCTGGTTGAGCTGGCTCCTGACCTCTGTCTCCAACTCCCTTCCGGTGGAACAGACACCTGCTTGGGAGTGCACCTTAACTCCTGAACAACGCATCCCGAAAGGAACATCCTAACTACATGAGAATGAAGTTGCGAACACTCATGAAATACAATTAGCAGCCTCCACCAGGCCCCATGTTTTCCTAACTCTATATTTTTCCTACAACAAATTTAACATGGTATAATCTCAGGTTCAGTTTTCCAAAATTTCCTGTGGCGTGGTAGGCAATATGACAGGAGTGAGTGCACTCTGGCCAGAGCATTCAGTATCTTCTTAAACAAGGAAGGCTGTTTTTTTGGCAAACTGGCACCAGCTGCTGTGGAGAAAAGACAACAGTCACTTAATATAGAAGAATAAATCAAGGGTGTCCACAAAGGTCATTTAGTCCAATGCCCTTCCTCAAGAAACAAGCCTCTCTTGTAGACGGAATTTGATTTTGTACAGGGAAATACCTTTGGATTTCCAGCCCACTCTTGTAATCACTCAGCCATTGTGCTTAGCCAAAAAGGAGTTTACAAGAAAGGGAATAAGCCATGTGTGCTAGGAAGGTGTGTGTTAGGACGGGGCACTGATAACGAGCTTGACTGGATCCTCTGCTGTGGCCAAGCTCTGCATAATTTCATGCTTGAAGGCCAGGACCTAATTATCTCTTTCCTGCAGCGCTGCATGGGAGACGGTAGGTAGGGTAGCAATGATGGTCTCTGGGTAGGTTAATGAATGCAGATTCAGGAGGCCTTGAGTCGCTTCCTGGCTTAGCTACAGACTTCCTACATGACCTTGAGCACATCACCTAACTTAGCCAGTGTCACTTCCCCATGCATACCTGTGTCGACCCCCACGTCTTCTGTTATGGGAGGTCCAGCATCTTCCGACAGTGTCTCAAACTGTTCCACGGAAAGAGGAAAAAAAAAGAAAAGTCAGGCCAGGTCCTGTTTGATCTGCGCTTCTCAGGATTACACAGTCACAGAATGAGGGGCAGGCAGTGGTGGTGGGGCTGTCTTCCCTGCCACAGTTCCCTGTGGTGCCATGAATGACCAGATGAAGTCCAAGTCCATGGATGCAAAGAGGGCCCCTTCTGTCCTACTTTCTGAAGTTAAGTGTGCAACTGTCTTCCATACAAGAGACTCAGCTCAGCCCCTTGCCTGCCTCCACTGCTTTCCCTCCTCTTCATAACATCCTCACTGTTTCTCTCTGCTTCGACCTCCCTTGTGCAGTGTGAGTATCTCTCCTGCCTATTCCTG